GCTTTTGCTGGAGAAAGAGCCATATGCCAGGATCCACAGAATGGTTCTTGTCTGCTGTGTCCATGAAGGCGTGTCCTACTGGACATCCGTGTTTCAGATGGAAGATGGAAGACGGAAGATGGAAGGCAAGATAAAATAGCAGGTGTATGATCTAATCTGAATTCTCTTGGCTCTCAATCCACAGGGAGGAATGGGTTCAAAGCTAACACAGGGGCAGCAATTCCAAGGGCCAGAAATGCTTTGCACATATCATGCCCTCAAAGCACTTTTCAGAGGAGGCCAGTGGTACCCCAAAACCACTCAAACAGGGCTGAATTTGAACCAAGTATCAGACTCCATGCCTAAAGGAAGTACTGTGAAACAAGAAGGCATTTCAGGAGTGAGAACCTTTTCTAAGCTTTCAAAGCAGTGGCCTTCTAAACATTGTTTAGCCACGTAAGCTGTAGTCTTCAGTCGTTTCCCCTTCCATTCCCTTCTTTAGAAGCATTTACTTAGCAGAGGTGAGTTTGGATTTCTGCCCTTAAAATGGGAAGAGAATGTTCTCGGCTCTGCATTCCAGCAGGGACCAGGCAGCAGAGGGCTCAGCTGTGCTCTCCCTGGTCCAGGAGCCCCTGTGGCAGGAGCTGCACGTGGTGCACATGACGGTTCCCAGTGAAACACAAACTCTTCAATGCTCAGAGGCCACAGTGGGGATATAGTCACGCGCTGTTCTCAGTAGACAACGACTGACAACTACATGCTTCCAATAACTTTAGTCTCTTTGTATCATTTCATTTCATTTTCCCCACAAGCCAAGCACTGCACCCTGAGACCCATTTTGCAGTCACAGAGATGCAGGTTCTGTTCATGCAGCAACATATGGATGAAAGCCTTAAGTGTCCACCTTGACCACTTGTGTCATTTCTCCTATACCATGCAGCCTCACCACTGCCAGTATTCAGGAGCCGCCAGAGATTTTTTTCCCATGCATCTCTAAAGCAGGAAAATATTTCCTGACGCAGATTTCCTAAGAACATGCCTAACTTCATTCAGGCTGGGTTTGCTGAGGGAGCCACAAGACACAGGGCACCCCAATGACTGTGATGACTAAGAAGGGGGAGAGAATGTGTCAGGGTATTCCTGCTAACTACTAAGAGGAGCAAAGGAACAGTAATGTTTTGCTTGAGACAAGCAACCAAGAGACCAGTCTGCCTCATGTATGTGTCCACCTAGGGTGGGGAAATCTGTAACATACCAAGCTGAGCCTGGAATGGCAGAGCAGCTGCATAGAGTGCTTTGAGGACCCTAACTCCTGGCTCCCCTTTCTTTCTGTTTTGGTAAAGGCACAGTCATTACTCCTGAGTTTCACTTCGCCTCCCAGAAATGTGTGTTAACAAAATCCTTTCTCTTCCCTCAGCTATGGAATGATGCCAGGGTAGATGTAGGCGTGGGGCTGTCAGCAGACTGGAGGCCAAGGGACATTAATCTCTAGCTCCCCAACAAGCTGGACATCTACCTACTTCTATGGAACTGGATTTCATATTTTCTTAAAGATCCTTCTTGGCTCTCCTAGTCTTTATTGCACTGACCTGCTAACAAGGAAACTGCCCACTTGACCTGCCACTTTCCTGAACCCCCAGCCCATTCAAAGGAAGAATCTGCATGGAACCCCCCAGCAAAAGCCAAGCAATCTTCTTGACATGCCTCCTGCCAGAGTGGGCAGTGGCCTCTGAACACACAGCCCTGTTCCCTGGGACCTTCCACACATCCTCACATACCAGCCACTGCAAGCAGGGCATCAGCAGCAGCCAGGCAGCAGCAGCATCTTCTATCTGGTACAGTGGTCCCCTCATCAGCTCAGTCCTAGCCCTGAGCACCCCACTCCCATCAGGAGAGTGAAGGGTTTTGGGGGCTGGGATTGCATGGCTGGAGGATTCACTTGAATATAGAAATGCCCTGGGGACGGGAGAAGGAGAAGGGAGTTGCCCACAGATTAGCTCTTTCCTGAATTACTATATCATTGAGAATATTTTTCTCATTAAATAAATTAAATTAGACCCTAAAATGTATTTCTGAATACCACCCAAGTATTGTGCACCAAGTTCTGTTAGCATTGAGTCCAAAGAAACGTTTTGCCAACATCCTAGTTTGACGAGCAAAGCTTTTCTCTGATCATGTATTCACACCACTCTTTCACTCAACAAATACTTAATGAGCACATGTTGTGCACCAGCACCTGTACTAATGTGAAAATTCAATGATTAACTAAACCAAGCTGCTGTCCGCACAGAAATAACATTCCAGAAAGGGCTGCCAGAGAACGCGCAAACAGGCATCTATTAAAGGATTTACGGTAGCTCAGAAACAGAACCTCTCAGAGAGCCAACAAGACACAGAGAAAACAGAGATGGGGAGGAGGAAGGAAAAGTTAGTCCAGGAAAGGCTGCAACAGCCTCCTCTGGAATATTTCCTTTTGCCTAACTATGTAATTGGGGGAATTATTTTACAAGCACAAATGTATTAGCCAAGCCTAGTCTCTCTCCTTACAAAGGCAAAGCCTTCAGCGCCCTAGGAGACAAGGCTGTCATTTCCAGTTCCCGCTGTCCAACAGGCTTTCTCCCAGCGTGCCTGGCTGGGGAACGGGTTAAGGTGGCAACGCCTGGGTTCAGAGCACTGCATAAACAGCACGTGTCAGGCGTTCTAAGCAAGCTTCATCTTCCCTGTCTCCCAGTGCTGTGCTGTCAATCAGCTGTCACTCGCCTGCACATCAGCAATGTATGCACATCACCAGGCTGCCAGCAAGGCAGCTGATGAGACTTGGCTCAGGACTGTCAATCATCCTTGTTTCTCTTCTCCACTCGGGAAATATTTTGGCTTCAAGAAACAAAGAAACCTGGACCACAACGACTCATAGTCAGGCATGCATTCCTGGGAATGGATAGAAGATCTTACACAGTATTGATCATGGCTCATTCCTCTGGTGATGTCGGGGTGGGGGGTGGACGGAGGGAAGAATAAGAATCTGTTTTACAAGTACAGGCTTTAAAACTATGATTCTATCTCCCAGAGCAGAACCCGATGGATCCCTGAACCCATAAAGCAAGGGAACACAACACAATGATAACTTGAAGTTATTCAAGCTTATGTCTCACCAAGAAAAAATAAATATTAAAAAAAAGAGTGGGCTCTGAGAGGGATGACAGCTTTGTAGAAGCCATTGATCAGGGAGCCTCTGGGCAGAGTAATTCCTGATTTTACCCATCTTCCAGGGACTTTGATGGAAACATCCCTGTAAGGGCAGAGCCTGCCTGGGGCTCCCCATACCAGGAATGCAGGTTAATCCAGCTGTATCCTCAGAAGGGGATTTTCCAGGGCTTCTGACAAGAGTCACTTTGTTTTAACTCTAAACCATCTGTGGTCTTATAACTGTAAGGGAACTTCTTAAAGTTCAAGGAAGTGCATATGCAGAAAAAAATTCATGTACTTTTTATTTTCTAATTTGCATACATTTTTGTGCAAGGCTAAAAGGCAGATACAACTGATGGCTCATTCCTCACAAGCCCAGGATGACTGGGGCTGAGCCAAAGTGGAATGGGAGCCAGGAAATCTCTGCTAGTCTCCGGCAAGCATGGCAGGGGGCCCAAGGACCTAAACCCTCGGCTGCTGCCTTCCAGGAGCAGTAGCAGGAAGCTGGATCAAAGGCATGGGGTAGCCAGGAGTGGAGCAATGCACTCCGATGTGGCAACAGCAACATCCTAATCCAGGACTGAATTCCATGAGACACAGGCCTGACCATGGCTTTAATTTGTCTTTTGTTGTTGTTTTTGAAATAAGCACAAACTCATTTTTAAATGCCATTCCTCCTCTCTCACCCAAAATTTTCCTTTGTGATTTGCCACAATTTCAAAGCCCATAACGCACGAATCTAATGCAAAAACCTGGCAGAAGTCCTCACTGGCCTACTGACACTCACAGAATGATAAAATGCAGATGTGGACCTCAGCATAGTTAGCTAACACATCTTGCAATATACCTGTACAGTAGAAACTTTTCTAAAGTAGCCCCAAATTCAACAGACAAGACAATCTACTGCTCCCTGGTGGCTCTGAAACAGAGTTAGCACCAATCAGAGCGTTCAATTACATTTATCAAGATCGCCTATCCATTGCAAAGGCTTTGGTGTGGTTCACGCATGCCATGGTGGGCTCTGTCATCGCAGTCTGTGACTGCGGAGATGGTTTCTCCTCAGATGGATCCTTTCATATGCGCTACTGATTTCCAGAAACACATCACTCTCTGATCTAACCGGACATTAATTGCTTTTATGTTGACATATGTATGCCTCTTGGTCTGATACCACAGACTAGCAAATCTGATTGCAGACAAGTTGGCTGAACCTAATCAGGAAAGATCAGCTGTTGCCCGTGGTGCCACAGGCTGTAATTTGAGGATCTATACAGAGTTATCACTACCGCAAAGACAAACAGCTATTATTCTGTCAACACTAATCCCAAGCTGTATGTTCAAAGTGGTCGTGGCCTCCGCTTTCTCCAAGAAAAGATAGCACTTGTCAAATAAATACCTGAGATCATTGAGAAGAGGGAATTAAAAGGATGTGGCTGATACAGTGGCACCGAGACTTTCTTTGTTATTTATTTAAAAGAAATCTCAGAAGCAGAACATTGGGTGTCAAGTACATGCTGTGAATGATTAAAAGGATGGCCGAGAAGAGACGCACGGAAACTTCCCATCACTGGGCTCCACCTAGGACCGGGTGACCCAGTGGGCATATGTTTGCTTTCTGCTCTAAACACGCAGGTGCCCACATGCCCTGATCCCCGATGGAACTCTCTGACCACACCGCGGACTGCTACCAGTGACAATGCCTTGACAAGAAACAAGAGCATTGTCACCAGTCGAGAAATTATTGTCGGGCTGCCAGCCCTGAGCCACTCTCCAAAGACCCCTGTGGTTTTGTTCCAGGCACAGAGAGAGAGAATGAGAAGTAGAAACGTTCTTACTGTATCGCTTTGGTCCATCTTCCAAACAAAATGAAAGGGTTAATGTGGCATCATCTTCAAAAAATTCTGTGGCAAATGCATCCCACCAGAGGTTGTCACTGTCCTGGAAAGAGACAGATCAGTTATTTAACAGGAGGAAAACATTTCACAGAGAAGAAGGGAAAGTAAAGAGGAAGCAGAGCTCAGTGCCTGGTACCTGCTGGGCAGTTAGCAGACATCTGTGACTGTCCTCAGAGGCCTTGCCCTGCCTGTGCTCACTTTTGGAATCAATCATCTAAATTCCAGTTTCATCCGTGAGCAGATAGAGCTGAATGAAAACGCACTTTTCCAGGATGGATTGGGGAGATATAATAAATGTACCATGGAGCACTACAATTTTTTTTAACCAAAGGATTTACATTTCATATAAAACATATTCAAATCCCCTTACCCCATTTCTTTCTCTTCTTTATTTAAAGAGTCATTTTGCACAAAGAGCAACCACAACATTATAACCAGGATATGTGGGGTGATTTGCCTTGAACTGTTTCAATTGAGAAGGACTATCCTGAGCTCTGCTCTGAGTAACTACCCCTGTAAGAGATGCTATAGATGACATCGGTATGGCTCCATGGAGAGAGAAAGGTGGAGGGGTTGATGACCAAACAACTATTGTAGGTCTGCAAATTGTTCATTAGTGTTGTTTCAAGATAATAAGCAACCACGAGCATGTTACTCAAATGATTATTAAAAATAGAGCAGTTCAACAGAATGCAGGCCACCCGCATGAACTCTGTTTGTCTTGGGCTGAGTTTTGCTCTGGCTCATCCAGAAAACACTTTGGAAGTGGCCCAGTTTAAGGCAGCAAGAATCATTGCTAATCTCCACAGGGAGAAGGAGGCCTCCTGAAACAGTGAATTAGAAAAGTTATACAGAGTGTCATATTTAAAGGACAAATCATACCCTGGCCGTGCTCTGTATATGGCCCGATTTACCCTTCAGTTCTTAAGCATAATCTTGTTCCAGAGAATTGCTGGCTAGTGCCAGGTTTTAGGACAAGATGCTTCCCAGCTGCCTATAAGATGGGAGGAGGGGACAGAAGAGGAATTGTTGCTCTGAACTCAGAGTCCCTGCTGCTGGGGCCTTTATGAAGATGTGGCACGTCTTCTTCCCAATAAGTTACTCTGCTCATGACAGGCGAGATGTTGTCCTTGGAAGATCTTAAGAATGAGCCTCCAGCCCCCACAGTACGTCAGGAAACATGGCAGATTTGTTCTGTTGGTTCTGTGCTTCAGAAGAGAATCTTAGGGCCGGCAGTTTGGCATTCCATTGCACCTGTGCCTGGGACTCTGACATGTCCCATCAGGGCCTGAGTTCAAGTGCTGGCTTTGCTCTTCATGCGAGTTTTCTGCTAAGGTGCACCCTAGAGGCAAGAAGGTGATGGCTCAAGTAACTGGTCTCTGTCACCCACCTGGGAGAACTGACTTGAGTATTGAGTTCCTGGCTCTTGGCTTCAGCCTGGTGCAGCCCCAGGACAAAATGTTGCAGGAATTTGGGGCACAAACGAACAACGGGATCGCTTTCTCTCTCCCTCCGTCTCTCTGTCTCTCCCTCCCTCTCTCCCTTGCCCTCTCCCTCTGCCTTTCTCACCCTCCTCCTCTCTCTCCCTTTCACGTAAATGAAGAGATCAATTTTTTTAACTGAACAAACTAGATTTTCAAAAACAGTGAAAGTAAAAGAATTCCACACAGATGTATTTTTGTACCTCTCTTTGGCTTCTCCCCAGTTGCCACAGCAAAAGCCTATACTTTTCTTGATGAAACCCAGGAGCTATGCATGGCTTACCCTACAAGCCACCTCCATTATTCTCTTTTCCCGACCACATGTTTATTGACTGCTTGCTATATGCAGGCCCTCGGATGGCACAGTTGAATCAGAGTTTGAAAAAGAGCTCAAAATCCACTAGTAGAAGATGATCAGGAGCACAGATAGGACTTGAGCATCGGTTCTGCAACAGGGGGTGAAAGGGTCTCAAATGGTGACTTAACTGCTGCATCAACTGGCTATTCCCTCGCCTGTCTTTTCTGTTGGTGAGCATGTGATACCATTTGTATCCAGCCTTGTGTGAATGTTTTATTTTAATGATGTAGTATTTATGTCCTTTAAAAATGATCTTAATTTTCACTTTATTGAAAGACAAAGGAACAGGAACGCATGCACGCGCGCACACACACACACACACACACACAAACACACAATCTTCTCTTTACTAGTTCATTCTCCCAGTTAACCTCAATAGTCAGAGCTGGGCCAGGCTCAAGGCAGTAGGCCAGAATTCCATGTATGTCTCCCAGATGGATGGAAGGATCATCTTTGTCTCCCAGAAGACATATTGGCAAAAACTTGGATTGAAAGTGAAGTTGCCCGGACTTCCACTGGACATTCAGATCTGGGATGTGGGCATCCGAAGACGCAACTCCAAAACTGTCCCAAATGCTCACGCTTGTTACTTTATACCTGATATGTGTTTCTCCTTCAACATTTCTTTCACTATCAACACCATGCAATAATGCACTGATTGGACAGAATATACTTAAGCATTGTGCTACTAATGATACCTAGATACTCTAATTTCTCTACTACAATGATACTGTGATAATAACCTTTGCAATGTCCCCTTGGATGTCTATAACCCAAGTTTCAGGAAAGACATGTAAGTTTATCTTGAGACATAAAATGTACTTTTCCTGTACTCTTTGAAGCCCCTCATATTCATGTAGAGATTTTTCCCCGGCATGCCAGTGAAGTGACTGTGAAAGCACAGAGGAGAGGTTTGTTTCTATTTTGGCTCTTGCACTAGGAGGACCCTGTGGCTCCACATTGAAGAATCCTGGTCTAGAGATGTTGCAGCAGAGATGCAGCAAAGAACACTCTTAGCAGCACATTGGTGAACGGGACCAGAAAGAGCATCATCATTCCAGGCAGTGTAGCTCTACCCAGAGAAGGAAGAACATCTAGAAGCCCAAAGAAGAGTTAGGAATGACATACCTCTTTTATTCTCTTAAAGAAACAGGGTCTGAAAGTGGACTTCACAATGCGAAAAGATGTTATTTCTTGATACTGAATCAAGGACAATAACACACAGTCTCCCAGCCCCCCAAGGTGACTCCCATAAGAGGATGACTGAAAATGAACCATCTTTAACTCCTGCATAAGTCCTGCCCATCAGCCTGCACAGAGCTTCTAACTCAGGGCACGCCTTATCACAATGAGACTTGCAATCCTTCCTGTTGTTTGCTCTGAACAGCACATGGTTAGTATTTATTGAATGGGAAAAACAAAAAACTAGGTTCTTTCCTCCAAAACTGGAAAGCAACAAGAACACAGAGCCATGTCCAAAAACATAAAGAGGAAATTCACTCAGTCTGAACACAGGCAGAGCAATCGCTACTGACTGTTCTACTATAGTTTAATTAGGTAAAAATACCTCTGCATCCTCTCCATTCTAAATAACCCCCAAATGCATTTCTGTGATTAAAGTCCTTTGTCTCATCTTATACATGAGCCCAACTTCCACCAGCAGCCGAATCATGCACCAGGAAAAGGGACACCCCCATGTCAAATAGCAGGAGAGAGTTTTAATTATATTTTAGAATCTACTAAAGCATTTTGCTTCCATCCCAGGTTCTTTCCTGTCCCTTACCCTGTCCCACTCTGCCAAACACAGGATTCTGGTGCCAGGGCTGCCCCCGGCATCTTTAACTTAAGCACTGACAGGTTACATGGGATTTTTGCCAGAGTAATTATTTTTCAATTCAACAATAATGAGAAATTACCATGGCAACCAGTTGTCACGTGCTGCACATACACCCCCTCCAAAGAGTGAACCATGCTTAAAGCACCTATTTCTTGAAAATGGGGATTTTTAAAATTAAACTAAACTAAAACAAGTCTAGGTGGAGAATATTCTGAAAGGGTCCAGGAGTTGGGATACAGGCAGGGCGGGACACCTCCTATCTGCATACCTTGTGGCTGTGAAAAATAAGACAATCTCATTACATGGTACTTCTCACACACACACACACACACACTCACACACACTAACACACACACACCTACCACTCCATGAAGTGGTATTGTATTGCTTTGTTCCCTCCCATTTTACACGTGTCAGCTGGTTTCTCCAGAAGATAATGAAGAAAGCAGAAGGTTCCTCAAATGATGGAGGCAAAAGCACACTCGGCCATACATGCCGACTTTAGTCTCTTTGCCTGGCATGTCCATGTATTGAGACAGGAGACAAAACAGACCCCTAATCTCTTGCCTTCTGCCCTTACTTTCAGGAGAGTTCTTCTCACAGTGAAGGAAGTGCAGGTCATTTATTTACCTGGATCATAGGAGTCATGTTGCTTTAATTGATAGCCACCCTGTCTCCCAACCTGAAACTCCAATGCCAAACTGATGCTGATTCTGAGTCAGGTGCATTTAATTCTGACGATCTGTAGTTACACTCACCAATGCTTACACACTGTTCTGAACTTAGAGCACACTGAGAACTCCTTCCACTCTCACAACCTATGAGATAACGTCTATTGTTAGCTGTTTTTTTTTTTCTTTTAAGATTGACACACAGACAGATAGAAAATGATTTTTGACATGGTCATTCACTTCCCAAATGGTCAGTGAGGGTTATCAGGCCAAATTGAGGAGCTCCAATCAATTTGTCACACACGTGTGAAAAGGACCCAGGCATTTGAGATATCACCCACAGTTTCACAATGCATTAGCATGGAGCTGTATTGGAAGTACCAGAACTCAAATCCACACTCCATATGAGTTGGGCATGTCCCAAGAGTCAGTCTAACCCGATGCACCAAAACACCATCTCTAACCTCATTTTATGGGTGAGAGAAGTAAGGGATGAGAACCTTAACATTTGCAAATTACCTAAGTACCAAACTGCAGAAGAAGAGTTCAAAGACAGAACTCTTCTGGCAGTTACATTCCTAAAACCGGTCTATGACGTTCCAATGTCCAGAACAGATTCTTCAAAATAACTTAGTTGTTTCTACATCAAATCAATGTGAAATGTGCTGAATTTGTGGGACTTCCTCCTGAACAGAT